TATCACAGGTAAATGGCTTTTTAGACACAAATTTGGCCCCTCAAGTGAGTTATCCAGGTACAAGGCCCGTTGGGTGGTTCGCGGTTTCAATCAACGTTTTGATGTTGACTATGACGAGACCTTCAGCCCCGTTGTCACATTGTCCGTATCGTCCTTAGCCTTGCTCTGTCTCGCGGATGGCCCATTCATCAACTTGATGTCAAAAATGCGTTCCTTCATGGTCAGCTACAGGAGACTGTTTATGCCAGCCAGCCTTCTGGGTTTCAGGACCCCACGCGCCCTCACTATGTTTGCAAACTCAAGAAGGCTCTCTATGGTCTCAAGCAAGCACCACGCTCTTGGTTTCACAGGTTTGCAGGTTTCATACAGACTATTGCCTTTCGAGGATGTAAGGTCAACACTTCCCTATTCATTTTCTCTCAGCCCATGGGCACGACCTACCTGCTCCTATATGTTGATGATATTGTACTCACGGCATCCTCCTCGGCACTTCTCCAGAGCCTCATTCAGCAGCTCAAGGCTGAATTCTCCATGACAAACATGGGCGACCTGCATTTTTTCCTTGGGATCAATGTTCATCGTACAACCACCGGCCTCTTCCTCCACCAGACTCAGTTTACTCATGACATTCTTGAGCGGGCAGGGATGGTCTCTTGCCACCCCATCTCTACCCCGGTGGACACGAATGCAAAACTATCTAGCCAGCTGGCTCGGCGCTCTCTAACCTGTCCTTTTATAGGTCCATTGTTGGCGCACTGCAGTATCTCACCTTCACTCGTCCTGATATCACATATGCAGTTCATCAGCTCTGCCTACATCTCCACGCTCCACGCGATGCACATCTTACCGCCATGTAGCGCGTTCTTCGCTATCTCAGTGGCACTGCCACCCACGGGATCCATCTAACACGATCCGCCACTGCCTATTTACAGGCTTATTGCGATGCTGATTGGGCTGGCTTCGCTGACACTAGACGCTCCACATCGGGTTACTGTGTTTTTCTGGGCGACAATCTCGTTTCTTGGTCATCCAAACGCCAGGCCACCACCTCTCGTTCCAGCGCCGAGGCTGAATATCGGGTTGTCGCTAATGCCGTTGCAAAGACCTGCTGGATCCGGAATCTTCTTCTTGAGCTGCAACAACCACTCTGTCACGCCACACTAGTCTTCTGTGACAATGTTAGTGCTGTTACCTATCATCAAATCCGGTGCAACATCAGCGCACCAAGCACGTCGAGGTTGATATACACTTTGTACGCGATAAAGTGGCGCTTGGCCAGATCAAAGTCCTTCATGTTCCTTCATCCTCTCAGTTTGCCGATATCTTCACAAAAGGACTGCCCTCTCTCTTATTTCTAGACTTCAGAGAAAGCTTGGGTATCCGACCCCCAGCACATCCGACGTAGCCGGGAGCATGTTTAATATATAAGATATATTTAATATTATTGTATTATGATTTGTTTCCATACTTGAATAGGTTTCCTAGAATATCTCTCCTACCATAACTAGGATTGAGACTTTTGTATATATACATGTACTCCTCACATAATTAATCAATGAAAATACAATTCTTCAGTAACCATGTTATTGGTGGCTTTTGCATTCCTCTTTGAAATGTGTACTTAACTTTGGATTAAGCTATTTGTAATCCAATTTTTTATCCTAAATTATACACCACAGGTGCACACCTTCATTTTGTAGGTCTGATTCTAAAGGGATAGTTCAATTGAAAAAAATGTTAGTGCATATTTTTTAATCGCACTATATTTTATACCAATGAGAATCACCAAAATATTAGTGTATATATATAGTTAATATAATTTTAGAGTACATTTCTTGGTATAAGTGCAGTATATTTGCTTAACTTTTTTAATGTCTAAGATCACTCTTCATTTGAGTGGATCTACTTTTTATTTAGGGCTCGGGGTATTTTGGAGAGGTCAAGCGGATAAATATCCCCTTAAGTTCCAAAAAGTCAAAATGTGAAAGCCATTAGAGAACGGAGGCAATGATATTTGAATAAAAAATAGTTTGACATATGAAAAGATAAATAAAGATAACTAAAGTAAGTTAAATATAAATTATTTTAATAAAATTATAAAATTCCAAAAATATAACCATCTTTTCAATATTTCCAAGCCCACTGGAGGCCTTTAGCAATAACCGTAAGCTTAGCTTGCACCACACTATCATTTCGAGTTTTACCTGCGAAGCCGCGCTCCTGTTTTCTATCTTTGTTACCAAGGACTCCGCCATAGCCGGATACACTAAAAAAATATGATTTTTGTGGAACCAAATTTTGCAACAAAATATAAAAAATTTGCTACAATAACTATTTATAGCAATTTTGGAATTTCTCACAAAGTTGTCACAGATACCCCATTACAAAAGGTATTTGTGGAAAATTTAAATTTGCAACAAAAATCATAGTTTTGTGGCAAATTATGATTTTCCACTAATAAAACTTTGCCACAAAAGCTCATGTTTAGTGGCAAATTTTAGTTCCCATAATTTATTATTTGCTACAGAAAATCATATTTAGCAGCAAATTTATGATGCCACAAATTATAATTTGCCACAAAAATTCATGTCTAGTAGCAAATTTTAATTAAATTATTATTATTATTATTATTTGTGTTGTATATAGATTTTATGTTTTGTTCCAGGTTACGTTATACATTTTACATTTTTTTTGAAGGAAAAAACTCACATATGATTAATCAAAGACGGAAAAAAAGGAGGAACAGAGTCCCAGTACATAGTTTGGGGTTGGGAATAGGCTAGGCTTGGACACGGTACCGGTGCGGTACCATCACCGGCGCCGGTACCGCCGGTACCGAGTACTGTCACCGTCACCGGAGACGAGCAACCGGTGTCTGGAACCGGTACCGGTACCGCCCCAACCGGTACCGTGTCCGGTTCCCAATTTTCGTCACCGGCACCGCCGGTACCGGTACCGGTACCGGTGTCGGTTTTAATTTTTTTTTCTTTTTTTGCTCATGCCAAGTTGCCAACGGACACCTGCAAAACTGCAAAAAAAAAAGTTAGTGGGGGGGGGGGGGGCCAGCCTCAACGGCTCTTGAGCCGTTAGAGGAAGGGGGGATGGGGATTGGGGATGGGGAGGGGAGGGGGGACTAAAAAATTAGTATATATACTCCTTTTTTTTCAAAAAATATCACACATTCACAATCAAAATTTCAATTACTCAATCCATCTCTCATACTCACATTTTTTTCCTAAAAAATCACTCAATTTCTCAATCCATCTCTCATTCTCTCATTCTCTCATTTTCTCAATCTCTCAATCTTATTATCTCTTTTTAATTTTTATACATTTAACATTCATATAATAATATAAAATTTTTATACATTAAAATTTTGAAATTTTTGAAATTTTAATATATAAAATTTCGAAATTTTTTCAAAATTTTCGAAATTTAAAATATTATTAATTTTTAAATATATTCTTTAATCTTTAAATAATTTAAATATATTCTTTATTTTTTGAAATTTTCAAAATTTTAATATATAAAATTTCGAATTTTTTTAAATTATTGAAATTTAATATATTATTTTTTTATATTAAAAAATATATATATTAAAATGTCGAGAGAGTCCGGTAGAAGGTCCGTGGATATGGGCGCCGTGAACCGAAGTTTGAGGAGAGGCAAAGCTAAAGCCACCTCCGACGGTTCGACCTCACGTGGTTCTCGAGGAAGACACTCCGTCTCTTCCTTTCCTACTATCCCCGATCACTTAATCGGGGACGCTATGACGGATGAAGAATTCGACCAGATTTATTCTGGTAGAGGGGACGCAAATCTTCCCACTCTTGATAGTGTATTCGAAGATCTTGATGAAGCAGGACTGGATAATCTAGACGGGGACGAGGAGCCTACACCGCAGAGCAACGACGTCGACGTGGAGGCAGATGAGCTCGAGACCTCTCGAGGTCCGGACAAAGGTAAAAAAAAATATAAATTAGATTTATTTGTTTATCATTTTGACAAAGAAACAAAAGATGGCGTAGTTTATGGAACTTGTAAACATTGTGGGACCGTCATAAAAATGGGAGTTTCCGGCGGTTATGGCGGTCCGGAAAAACACCTAAGGTCGAGGCATCCCGTGGAGTACGCCAAATACGAGGCAAAAAAGAAGGGACGACAAGAAGTGCAAACCCAAATTTCTCGGTTTGCAAACAGAGGTAAGGGCGGCCTTTTTGCTTATAGTGACGAGCAAAATAAGCAAAAAATGGCCAAAATGATTGTGAAGAAAATTTGCCATACATGTTTTCTGAAAAACTTGGATTTATTGATTATTGTCAACAGGCATTAAACCCTTAAGCACGAGGTTTTTCAAGAAAAACAATTAAACGAGAAATTATTCGTCAGTATAAAAGTGGAAAAATAAATTTGGCAAATTTTTTTCTCAATTTTAATTCTCGTGTTGCTATTTGTTCTGATATTTGGAGTGAAATTTATCATAATTTGTCTTATATGGGTGTTACTTGTCATTGGATAGATAGTGATTGGATTATGCATAAACGTGTTCTTGCATTTCGTGATTTCAATGATCAGCATAATGCTGAAAATATTTTTCTATTGATTCAGAGTATTCTGCGGGAATACAACTTATCTGAAAAAGTGTTTTCATTTGGTTTTGATAATGCTACTAATAATACTGCAGCTATTCCTAGACTTAGAGAAATTTGCCCACCGTCTANGGTGTGCCTGTCATGTTTTAAATTTATGTGTTCAACAGGGACTAGAAGCTATGGGCGGAGTTTTGACGAATATTAAAGAAGGAATTAAAAGAATTTGGGGGTCTCGTCTTGTTTCGAGGTCCTGGAAGATGTTCTGTAAGTCTAAGGGTAAAAAAGAAATAGTTTTTGCAAAAGATATCCACATTAGATGGAATAGTACTTACAAATTGATTCATTAGATTCTAAGATATAAAGAGAACTTGCTGAATTTTTTAGTGATGAACTTCGTATAATCATTAATCCTTCTGAATTTGTTATTGTTGAAAAATTGAATGCCGTATTAGAAGTTTTTAATAACGCAACTCTTACTTTTTCTCATGTTTACCAACCAACTACAAATACATTTTTTAAAGAGTGCGTTACAATCGCAACATGTTTTCGTGAAAGTATGGCTGATCCTGAGTTGTACCCTTATGTCGCTCCAGCTATGAGAGATAAATGATGTGCTTATTATTTGTTCATTCCTGATATTTATAAAATAGGTATTATTTGTGATCCACGCTTTAAGATTGAAAATTTTAAAATTTTAATTGAGTATTACTATAGTTGTTTTTTAGATAAAAATAGTTATTACTACAGTCATTTAATAGAATGGAAAAAAGAAAGAGATAATGCTATAACTTTTTTTGAGAATTTGTTTGAGGAATATCAAGGGTTATATGGCACTGTACAAGAAGAAACAGCACCACCTCCGCCCCCGAAATCAAAAAAAGGTTTTGCCGGAATAGTCGGTGGTCTTCTTGCAAAGAAAGGGAAGCGTGCTCATTCTTCGACGAGTTCAAGTGGTACAACAATAAGCTCGCACAACGAACTTGCTATGTACCAGGGTGTGCCATGCGATTACGACGACGACGACGTGGATTTTGATGTGCTCGGATGGTGGAAGCGGAACGAACACATGTTCCCATGTCTCGGCATGCTAGCAAGACAAGTGTTATCCATTCCGGTATCAACCGTAGCAGTTGAACGAGAATTCAGTGCTAGCGGCAACATTCTAACCGACTTTCGAAGTTGTCTTAGCGCTGAATCTCTTGAAACACTGGTTTGCAACCAAGATTGGCTCTTGGCAAGACGTCGAGCTCAAGAGTCATCGTACCTACTCGAATCGGAGCATTACATGAATGCAACAACAGGTGGAAGTCCGAGTTCTGAAGAATAAGTTATAATTTTGTTTATGTTAATGTAGATATGTAATTAGTTTTTTTAGGTGAGCGATATATAAGCTCCTTCGAGGGTTTCTTTACGGTTCTTTACCTCGTCGCTTTTTTTGAACCATCAGGATATTAAATGTGGTTGTTCTTTAGTTAGTGTATTATTCATTTTAAATATAATTTAATAACAACTACATTTTTAGATTTTTTATTTCATTCTTTCCTTAAAGAATTGCAAATTTAAAATTTTATACTTTAAAAATTTTAAAAAAAGCAAAAAAAAAAAGGAGGGGGGGGCGAAACTGGCCGGTCCGGTACCGGAACCGCCGGTCCGGGAACCGGAACCGGTACCGGCCGGCACGGTGACGGTTCCGGTGACATGGGGTGGCGGTACCGGAACCGTCCCGGAACCGTACCGTGTCCACCCCTAGAATAGGCCATGGTAGCCAAAAGCTAGGCTAGAGAGTTTGAAGAGCGGGGAAATAACAAACGAAACTGAACAATTAGTAAAAGTACGAAGTAACACCTTGCACTCATGGAAAGAGATGCCAATGTAAGCCCGGGAAGTAGTAGAAGCCGAGCCTAGATAATGACAAAGAGTAGAGCAATCCGAGAAAAGACGGACATTGGAAGTGTCCCTAGCTTTCAACTAGACCAAGGTTTCCTTGCATGCTAATGTTTCAGCCATCAACGGGGATAATACATCAAAGAGAGGACCATTCATAGCCGCCACAAACCTGCCCTCATGAGACAAAAGCACTGCCCCGAACGTTGCCCTGCATGTCCGCTCCTCAAAGCCTGCATCAAACCAACAGGTAAACTCACAAAATCAGACCCCTGTGGTACAGCGTGGAGGTGTTGCCTCAGATCGGGTTCGGGAGGAGGAGCATAGAAGTGCACCAGATGACGCCATGCTTCCAGATTATGCGCTGCCATATTCCAAGTTTGACGAGGCAAGGGTAGTTTCAACTCCCAAACCACTGAGTTCCTGGCCTGCCAAATTCCAGAGAGAACAGCTGCAACCACCTCCAATTGAGCAACATCCAGCATAGACCAAACTTTCTGCAACCAACAAGGAAAGTCAAGAGAAATATGAGAAACCACCGGCAAACCACTCTCGTGCCACACCCGCTGAGAATAAACACAAGAAACCAACACGTGCAAAACATCCTCAATAGAATCACCACACAGGGGACAAAGGGGATCAACTTCCACTCTCCTACTAAACAAGTTTGTAGTGGTGGGGAGAATATTTCTCGCAGCCCTCCACATAAAAGTCCTCCATTTGGGAGGAACTTTTAACTTCCAGAGCTTTGTCCATAAGTTATAACTGCTTGCATGAAGAGAAAACTCTCCCACAATATTTCAATACCCTCTTTTAACAGTATAACACCCACTAGGATCATCATGCCAGTACCAAGAGTCTTCAAACTCCAGGCTAAGAGGAACCCTAACAATACGTTCCACATCCTCCGGAATGAACAGATCATGCAAGAGAGGGATATCCCAAGAATGCGTAACCGGATCAACAAGATTCATTACTCGAGTACCTTGGAGTTGAGGGTGCATAGTGGTATGAACCATCGGGTCATAAGCATCGGAGAGCCAGGGGACACCCCACACCAACGTGTTAGCCCCATTACCAATCCTACGACGCACCCCACTGCAAACAAGTCCATGAGCGGCCAAAATACTCCTCCAACAAAAACTAGGACAATTACCGAGAGTAGCATCAATAAATGAAGATCGAGGATAATACCTTGCTTTGTAGATCCTAGCAACCAACGACTGTGGCTCCGTCAGAAAGCGCCACCCTTGCTTACCCAACAGAGCTAAATTGAAAGCCCGTAAATCCTTGAAGCCCAATCCCCCGAATTTTTTTCGGGACACTTAAACGATCCCATCCCATAAAAACAATAATAACGAATAAAAATACAAAGCTAAAGTCACATGTTAAGATTATAAACAAAATATATGGTACTCATAACTCAATTCCAACCAACCAAAGGTTCACAACCAATAATATAATTAGGTTTTGACATAAAACAAATATAGTACTAAACACGTTTTTCTGACGAAAGTATCCTAAAATCTTTCTCTAGTATTCATCTAAGCTCCATCTCTTCATTCATCTTGTCCCTTCTATCTTGATTGTAATTCCCAACCAATGTGGAAACTCAATGGTATTTCTCATATTGAGCCTTGATCTGCAAATGAAAAAAATAAAATTAATAAAAGAAATAAGTGAGCAAATGACCAGAGCAACCAGAGAACATATAAAGTGTTGGGGATGTCGAAGATAACACAGATTAATCTGAGAGTTAATCATGTAGCACTTTCAGATTGATTATTTTGGCTGTTCAATAAAAAAATCAATCACATAAAACTCAAATCTTTGACAAGAACGGATATAAGTTTATATGAATTTTTTGAACTACTCTACGACCAAGGATTTGCCCGATTCATATAGCCGTCGAAGGAAGGAAGAGATGCAGCCGCGTCTCTCATCTAAAACTCACGTCTAATCGCGTGATTTTTAGATGGCACATATTTTTGGAAAACCCGCTTAAACAAATTTCGAAAATTAAAAATTCAAGTAAATTTTTTAGCGAAGCACTTTGTTTACCATAACCGTTTGCCGAGCCAGGGGCTCTGCCCCTTGGACCATGCAGGGACTGCGAGACCATGAACCCTGCTCGAGGGTGCTGCCTCTGAACCCTCGCCAAGGGGGAGCTGCCCCCTTGAAATTCCCGTTAGATCAGGACTTTTATCATAAAAACCACAATGAAGTGTGCACTCCGCACCACCAAACTTCTTTGATTATTATTATGAAACCACTGGTCAAATAGTTATTCTAATTACACTAAAATACATAACATTCCTTCCCTTTTTAGCGTAATCTTTGATTAACTAAATTAATTCATAACATACAACAAACTTATGCATAAATGATATATCGTGATGATTGAATTTCATCTTATTATATTACACATTTCAAATATTCGAATATCAGGGTATTACTAAGGATTGAACTCTACTATTCATTTTGAATGTTTAAAGGACAACGAACAAAACTGTAGTGTTAATAGACGACATACAACTAAACCAAAAAGTTGTTTAAGGTAAGACCAAAGAAATAGTCTCAACGGTGTACATACAACAGAAGGTAACAGAGGTTTGATGGAATTACTTATAGTGGTTTTCCGAGCAGCTGTCTGATAGACTACACTTGGAAAACATAGTGTGAACGCTTCAATCCCAACTACAATAAACCATAGTCGTAATAACCAATATACAATTAATTACAACAGTTGTTTTTAAGTAGTTGTCTCAAATTGTATATACAACACAATATAATGGTTTTCTAAGTATATACAAAATCGTAGAGTCAATCAAGAGCAGACCACAAATATTTAAGGTTGTGTTAATCTACAAAACGCTGGTGTTAGATATGGCTTTGCACAATTGTTGTAAACAGAGGTGTAGCATATCATCAGACGACTGCTGAGAAGACTACTGAAAACATCAATTTTAGACTACTAAAATAAGCAGCTGTCAGCCTCTGTTTTTGACGTAGTTTAAATCACATGTTAAGATTATAAACAAAATATATGGTACTCATAACTCAATTCCAACCAACCAAAGGTTCACAATCAGTAATATAATTTGGTTTTGACATAAAATAAATATAGTACTAAACACGTTTTTATAACGAAAGTATCCTAAAATCTTTCTCTAATCTTCATCTAAGCTCCATCTCTTCTTTTCATCTTGTCTCTTCTATCTTGATTGTAATTCCCAACCAATGTGGAAACTAAATGGTATTTCTCATATTCAGCTTTGATCTGCAAATGAAAAAAATAAAATTAATAAAAGAAATAAGTGAGCAAATGACCAGAGCAAGCAGAGAACACATAAAGTGTTGGGGATACCGAAGATAACACAGATTAATCTGAGAGTCCATCATGTATCACTTTCAGATTGATTATTTTGAGTATTTAAAAAAAATCAATTAGATAAAACTCAAATATTTGACAAGAACAGGTATAAGTTTATATGAATTTTTTGAACTACTCTACGACCAAGGATTTGCCTAATTCATATAGCCGTGGAAGGAAGGAAGAGATGCATCCGCGTCTCTCATCTAAAACTCACGTCTAATCGCGTGATTTTTAGAAGGCATTTATTTATGGAAAACCCCCTTAAACAAATTCCGAAAATTAAAAATTCAAGGGAATTTTTTACCACAGCACTTTGTTTACCATAACAGTTTACCCAGCCAGGGGCTCTGCCCCTTGGACCACGTAGGGGCTGCCAGACCTTGAACCTTGCTCGGGGGTGCTGCCCCTGAACCCTCGCCAAGGGGGAGCTGCCCCCTTGAAATCCCCGTTAGATCAGGACTTTTATCATAAAAAACTCAATGAAGCGTGCACTCCGCACCACCAAACTTCTTTGATTATTATTATGAAACCACTCGTCGAATAGTTATTCCAATTACACTAAAATACATAACATTCCTTCCCTTTTAGTGTAATCTTTCATTAACTAAATAAATTCATAACATACAACAAACTTATGCATATATGATTTATCGTGACAGCTGAATTTCATCTTTGTACATTACACATTTCAAATATTTGAATATCAGGGTATCCCTAAGAATTGAACTCTACTATTCATTTTGAATACATGAAGATAATATACACAAAAGTTTACATACTTTAATGTTCTAATTTGACACTATTATTTATTAGCCTTGTGTCCTAGTCCTTCATAAGCATATCAAAATGAAGTATCTACTTCTTGAATCGACTAAACTTCATGCTCGTATATGTAGCTTTTTTATTCTTGCACCTGAATTTGTAATTTTCAAAAGAACTATTAAGAAGACGTACTTAATAACCTCTTAATCTTAGAAGTCTGAACACATACCTTGGGATGACAAACTCAATGTGTTCCAATTTCTACATGTTAAGATTTTTCACATTGAATTGAGCATCTTATATCATATTAGATGAGAATTGGGAATCTTAGCATGAGAAATTTAGTTAGACTTCAATCCAATCCCCATAGTTGACCTCTGCACAAGGTTTCTACTTAACCCTTTGGTTAAATGATCAGCTAAATTCTGTTGAGTTCTTACAAACTCCACTGATATCACACTGTGCATGATGAGCTCACGAACCATGCTGTGTCTCACACCTAAGTGTCTCGACTTCCCATTGTAAACTTGACTATAAGCCTTAGCCAAAGTAGCTTCACGATCACATTTGATAGATATTGGAGATATTGGTTTTGGCCACAATGGAATTTTGAATATCAGATTCCGTAACCATTCAGCTTCTTTACGAGCTGCTGCTAGAACCACAAACTCAGACTCCATTGTAGAGTTAGTTATGCAAGTTAGTTTCTTTGATGCTCTACCAATTGCACCTCCCCCGAGAAGAAATATCCATCCACTCTTGGATCATAACACTTACCTCCTCGATCTGTTTGAAGAATTTTAATCAAGATACTTTGATGTAACTCTACCTCTTTCTTGGAAATCTTAAATCTATCAAGAGCTTTTTCTTTTGCTTGCAACAAATAAACAAAGTAAAATCTGGATGCATCATCAATGAAAGTGACTACATACTTCTTATTTCCAAGAGGAGTACCATGTAAGTCACATAAATCACTATGTACAAGATCCAAAATCTCACTTTCCCTATAGACTTCTTTGAATGGTTGTCTCGTTATCTTAGTGAGCATGCAAGCTTTAAAATTTTCAATGTTAAGTCAAACGTCGGTAAGAAACTTAGTTTAGGCAAATCTTTTAATCTCTTGTAATGAACGTGTTCTAGTTGTAACATGCCACCATTCAGATTATTTTGAACAAATGCATGAAATTGTAGAAGCCATACAAACAGATCTATTGAGATAAAATACATCTAAATTCAACTTAACCATATCATTCAATTAGCCAATTTAAATAAAGGAATCATATTTAGATAATACATATTTATCTGACTCGATGACTTGTTTACAACTACAACTATTTAATACAATACCAGACACAAGGTTTTTACGAATACGAAGAACAAATAAAACATTGTCTAAAGTTATACACTTTCCAGAAGCAAACACTAGCCTAATGCTTCCAATCCCTTTGATAGGTTTGGTAGAAACATTTCCTCATGCGTAATGTCGAGCCATCTTCTATTGGTCTCATTGAAGTAAACCAACGTTGATCCTTGCACACATGACACGTTTTTCCCAAATCTACCCACCATGCAACATCATCATCCTATACATAAAATGCCTCAGATATTAGAGATACATAATTCTGAACCTAATTATTAATCTTTTCAAAAATCTGACCTTGTGTCATATTTGGGTCCTTCGACCCGCTTGGACCAGCTTCCTATTTTGGTTTACCAACCTGCAATCTTCCTTGAAATGCCTGGGTTAACCACACTTCCAACATGCTACTTTTGGTTTCGTATTGGTGGTGTTCATGTCAAGTTGGTTATGCTTCCTTTTCCCAGATTAGTGGTTTGCCTTGGAACCACCATCCTCCACCATATTAACAGAAGATGGTCCAGCGACGTCTTTGGGTTTATTACCTTCTCGAACCCTCACTGGTTCTTCAATCCGAAGACAAGTGCCCAATTAAACCAAAGACATATCATCCTTGTTGTGTTTCAACTCACGCTTGTAGTCCTTCCAAGATGGTGGAAACATATCAATCACATTTGAAACAAAAACACATCCATCCTGTTTCATACTATGCATATTAAATTGTCCCAACATTCACACAAGTTCATGGTATTGTTCCATGACAGACCTTGAATCAATCATCTTCTAATTGTTGAAGTCGCTAACTAGAAATTTCTTACTTGATGCATCTTCTGCCATGTATTAGGATCCTAGAGAATCCCACATCCCACAATTCTTTTGCAGACTCAACATTTTGGTAAATATCAAATAGGGAATCAAACTCAACATATGGCCGATGCACAGAATGTTGTCGTTCTCCCACTTAAAGTGCCTTCTAGTTTGTTCAATCGTTTCATTCTCGTGCTCTTCTAGTTTTGGAGTGCTCAGAACATATATGACTTTGAGAGTCGTCAACAGGAATTGCATCTTTTTCTGCCATCTTCAAAAGTTTTGTCCTTCAAATTTTTTAGTTTTGCAAATTTGCTCGTCCGGTCCTTCGTGGATTCACTATTCGTTATCTTAAACAAAATAATCAATCTTTCTTAGGGAAATCGTAGATAGCACGAATTAACCTGAGAGTCATGTAGCATTTTCAGATTGATTATTTTAGGTGTTCAATCCAAAAAACAATCAAATAAAATTCAAACTTTTGACAAAAACAGGCACAAGTTTATGTGAATTTTTCGAACTGCTCTATGATCAAGGATTTTCCAGATTCATATAGCCGCGAAAAGACGGAAGAGACGCGGTCGGGTCACTTATCTAAAACTCGCGTCTAATTGTGCGAATTTTAGACGTCGCGTATTCTCAACAAAACCCCTTAAACAAATTTCGAAAATTAAAAATTCAAGTGAATTTTTTTATCAAAACACTTTTTTACCACAACACTTTGCCCAGCCAAGGCAGGGGCTATCGCTCCTTGAACCCTACTCGGGGGCAGTGCCCCCGAACCCTCGCCAATGGGGCGCCACCCCTTGGAACCTCCATTAGATTGAGATTTTTATCATAACAAACTCAACGAAGTGTGCACTGCGCACTACCAAACTTATTTGATGATTATTATGAAACCACTGGTCAAATAGTTATTCTAATTACACTAAAATACATAACATAAAGCAAATTAAAGAGTGTATAAAATGACCAGAGCAACAGAGCACATATTGCAGCCATTCTTCAAATTAGATAGTGTATAAAGCAATCAGGGCACAAAAAAGCAGAGGAAAAGAAATAAATCTATTCCACATGATAATAATGTAGTACACAGGTTTGAGAGTTGCCTTATTATCTCATTTTCGAAGATAATATAGATGGACAATAACCCTCTTATGATAATAACCTTTCTAAGTATAGATGAAGTAATGCAGCTATTTGCGGTGCTTCTTGAAACTGATCAGAGAACCTAAACGGAACAAAACAAAATAAATTTTCTTCTTGATGGATCACCGAGAAAGGAAAGTTTGTGGAAGTGAAAGACCAAAAATATCTTCTTATTTCACCCCTCTCATGAATACAAGTATATAAAGGCCTGTTATTAGCTAACTGACTAACAAACTCAACTTCTCCCTAACCGTTTCTAACCACCACACACACGTGGCAAGGCAGTGCCTGTATCATTCCTTCCCCCATAAAGAGGAGGGCCTTTATTCAACTATTCACAACTATAGTGACAATACTCCATTAACTAGAAAAACTCAGGAAACCTTTGTTCCATGTCATTGGAATCCCTCCAAGATGCATCATCTTTATTCTGCCCTTCCTGTTGCACTAGATATTGGACAACACCTCTTCCACCTTGCTTGATGGTCCGTCTTTCTAAGATTGTTGCAGGTTTTAGAATTTTAGCCGCATCTCTGCCTTGTAACCATCCTGGTATATGCGGTTGTTTTGGCAGTGCTCCCTTGAAGGCTTTGAGTTGGGACACATGGTAAGTGTGGTGTACTTGGGCTGATGGAGGATGTTGCAGTCTCTACGCCACTGAACCCAACTTGTTCAATATCTAAAATGGACCATAGAACTTAGGAGCCAATTTTGGATTAGTCCTTGCTTGCATTGTGGTTTGTCTATATGGATGCAATTTGAGCCATACCCAATCTCCCACTTAAAATTGTCTTTCATCCCTGTGTTTGTCAGTGTGTACCTATATCCTGTTTTGAGCTCTTAACAGGTGAAATTTCAGCAAATGTATCATAGCTTCCCTCCTCTGTAAAGACCTATCTGCAGCTTCTACCTTTTTTCACCAGGAAGATATGGAAGATGGATGGGAGGTGGTTGATTATACACCAAAAATCAAACTCACGTCTTACTAACGTCTTACCGCCTTGGTACTCTTTTTCTTTGCCAATTGCGCAACGCCCAGTGGCGCAGAAAGAACACAGAGAGAAAAGGAGTGTCAAACATGAAGAGAAGCAACATTTTTAACTTCGAATTCTTCAATATGGTAAAGTTGCAAATGATATACAATAATGGCTCAGTTTACCCAAGCGATGTGCTACACTCGGATATGGATATATATCTACATGACTCTATGTTAGAGTAATTGTACGGTAGGTCATAAAGCCCATACCGCTTCATGGCTCATGCATAGAAAAATAGGGATGGAACAAACTCTCTTTTTTATCCAGCCAAATTAAACTATATCACCTCACTTGCTAAAAAAAAGTAATGTCACCTCACAAGAGTGACCAATTAAAATAAAGAACTATGTTTCGTGTACACCACATTTATGCAAAAAAGTCTCTTGTTTGTCTCGCAAAGACAAGTATTCTTTTCTTTATTTCCCACCGTCAAGACTTGTATGTAGTTCCAACTTCAAAAAATGGGTGCACCGTCAAGTGTTGTGCACGCATTTCAAAGTTTAAGGTGTAATGTACAAATAGCTCTGTTCTTGAATATGTCTCCATAAGCCCATAATAATGAGTAACTAGAAAAAAATGTGTCAAATTGTGCAACTTAATATTGACAGAAATAAGCTGTGTCAGATAGTACATCCAAAGAGAGGAGAATTGGAGTGGGGGGTGGGGAGGGGGGGGGGGTCAAGGGAGCTAAGATTGTTGAGGAGAGACCTGAAGGTACACCATTTGTGTGTATCCATTAAATACAGAAGTCTCAAGTCTGGATAAACCGAGTCTCTGGAATAATCCGTATCTGCCATCTTCAACAATGGGAGTTGATACACGAGCAGGATCATATCTCATTTGATGAGTTAAGGAGGGGCCAGCTACAGGAGGAAGTTCCCAATATAAATCGAGTACTGATTCTACAAACCTGCTGTTTTGAAAATGGTCGGCATAGGTTATTGCTTTATTGCTGTGGTTAAAATCGTCCCGCATATATCCTCTAACACCCCACCACGCTTCCCCTGGCCCGCAAAGTTCCTCACTATCAACTGCCTTTTCCCAGAACTTTTTCCGTCTTGATCTTGTCCTAGCTTCATCACTGTCCAAGAAGCAACTGTGGCCACCACCTGGAAAACAAAATTAATATAGTATGAAGAAACAATGAGCAAAGTACAACACGTGCATGACTGGCCAATATGATCAACTGAATTTAAAAAGTTTCATCATGGAGTTCAAGAACAAACATATATGCACCCATCATCTCATTTCCAGGTTAACCAATACTCCATCCGTCTCAAATTAGTTTTTCCACTTTAACTTCACGGAGATTAGAAGTGTTGAAAAAATATTGAAAAACGAGTAGAAACTAGTTAGAATTTGTTTCGAAGAGAAGAACTATTCTGGACCACATGTCCTTTTCCAAAAAACGGAGCGAGAAAAATGTGAAAACTATTTTTGAGATGGATGAAGAGGAAAGTGGGAAAACTTGTGTGGCATACGGAGTATGAAGTTACTGAAATTTTCTTGGTGCTTCAATAGGGCCACTGGTTAAGAAATATGCATGCCTGATGTAATATTGTAATATCAAATGTCATTCACTACCTTACAACAAATATCATTTACTACTATACATTTAAAATGGGACAACTAAGGAGTAAAAAGCCAGCATATGGCACACATACATATACATATTTCCAATATGTCATACCCTTTATGTAGAATTGGTCACATATCTGCCTCAAAGAATAATGATCTCCCGTACCAGTATCATAGTTGTCCTCAAATACAAGATGTTTGAATCCAGCTTTAAGTGCTTGCTTTAACCTGCCCATCAAATTGAAGGTCAACAAATTGCTTAGTGGCTGATGAAGAATATGCAGAATGATTCAGAAGGAGATTAATCATGCTCCCCAAAGGAAAAAGATGTAATACCTTTTCAATTCATTCTGATGGTCATCGAAAAAGACAATAACACGACTAATATCTTCAACTCCGTGTTTCTTAAGAACTATTCCCCAATCAACACTTCCGAAGTCAACAAAGTCTTTTCCAGCAAAGTATGTGCAATTTCCATCAACATATGCGGGTCCCTTCCTGAGGTACTTCTCGGGATGACGAGGTGTAAGAGAAATGATTGGTGTATCGGGCATTGCTTGTCTCAAAACCCAGGTTGAGTGCCCCTTGAAAGCACCACTCTCAATCATCAAGTCTGGCTTCAACCATCTGGTCATAAACCATAGACCAAAACTGTGGTCAAATCCCATCCCGTACATGTTGTTCTTGATAGGACGTGTTTCATATATTGGCACAAACTCCTCCAAACCTTGAAGTAAATCTTTTGTGGTCCATTCCACAGTTTTACCATGTTTCGATCTGCCTTTAGAAAGGATAACAATTAAATGGGATGTATATTACAGAAAACCTTTGCCAAACTNATCGCCACACACAAAAAAAATCAAACGCCATAGCATCCAGATCTGAAAACACACACACACACACAGAGAGAGAGAGAGAGGAGAAGAACAGGAGGTAAGGGAACTTTACACCAGGGGACACCGAGAGATCCGAAATCCGTTTCGAGGCCATCAAATCCGAAGAATCGCAATCGGGAAGTGTGATCGGAGGAGGATGCGGAGATGCAGACCAAATCTCGAGTGTGGACGATGAACGAAATGATCAGTACGAAGATGAGGGCGATTAGGAGGCAGGGCCATACGTGACCGGTTCGGGCCAGGGAGTTGATGACCCGCATAGGAACGTGGCTGTGCTTACGGGTCTTGGACTCGTCTCCTCCATTGCCATCATCGCCGTCATCGTTCACTGCTCCGCCGGCTCTCCGAGATGACAGCACCCTATCGAGCATCTTCATCTGATGTATGTGTGTGGGAAGCTCTGCTTTACTTCTTCATTTATCACGGTACGCAGGTCCGGTGGTTTTAGTCAGTAAGATTCCGTCTGTGGGTGTGCTTGGAAGATGAACTGCGTTCCGTAAAACAGGATGTACGTGCATTAGGGGCAGTACTTATTCTAGCATAAATATAATTAGCGTAGTAGTCATTCTAACATAATGCAGTACTTATTTTCATACATTGGTTCAATATAATTATAATATTCATCTACAAATAATATAGTGTTCATTCTGAAACAAAACAATACTCATTTTCAAATAACTTAGTGTTCATTCTCATGTAAAATAAAATTCATACCATAAATAATTTCTTGGTTGTACCCAAAATTGGGTACAACCGGATGTATAATATAATTTGCCCGTTCCAGTCGGCTTTGATTCGTTTTAATCTTAATTTTTTAACCTCAATTTGGTTTGATCTCAATTTGCATAGTAATTCTTACTCCGTATTTTGGAAAAAAAATATAAAGCTCCTATTTTAATAATTATCTATGTTTTATTCATAATTTAATCTTTTTCTCTAGATCTAACATTCCAACCTGATATGGTTTAAATTAAATTTAAAATATTACAAAAACATGTATTCCGACTTGTGCGACGCACGATGTCGAACGAAATTTTTGTCAATTCTAATTTTTTTAATGCAATTTTTTCCTCACATGATTTTTAATACAATAGACAATAAAGCCAAAGTAGAATAAATATTGTTTGAGGAATTGAAAGTGTACTCGTCAAAGTCTTTTTTAATATCAATTTTTTTAAAAGACTTCCAGATATAAAGTATTTTTGCTATGCTTCTAAGAGTTTCTATTGTCATCTAAAACCAATCTTTTTAATCATTTTATTTGTCTTCACTCGTGAAAAAACAACATAAAGCTAATCATGAATGAATTTCAACTTAGCTAAAAATAATCCAACAAAAGATAATGCTTCACATTCACATTTGTTAATAGTCATAGTGGAAGGGAGCATGCTACATGTATCCCAAAAGTTGTATCTCATTTGTACACAAAAGGTATGCACCAAAATTTTGATGATTCACAATGACACAAAGTGTTGGTACATTAACAAAAATTTACACTGACACAAAATATTGGTGTCTTAAAAAAAATTAACATTACACCAATATAAAATGTAAGTGCATCTCTACGGGGTACAAATTGGGGCACAAATAACTTTATCCTAGTGAAAGTCATACTGCAACAATAATGAGGAATAAGCATTCACCAACCTACACAAAGTTTAACGAAGAAAAGTCAAAAAATAGATTGAACAAAAGTAGAGCGCTAATATTCATGAGGTCCATAGTGGTGAAGTAAAGTGCTTACCCCTTCTGCTCACCCTTTCACTTAAAAATCTCATGTAGCGATGATCTCCATAAAAATGGTTCCGGGTGAAGTGGATAAAACAACCACAAAAGTATTATGGTTCAACTCACATAGAGGTGTTTATATTAATAATAATAACAATAATAATAACAACAACAACAATAATAATAATAATAATAATAATAATAATAATAATAACAACAACAACAACGCAGGTTATATGATCTCCAACGCCACTATATTTGGATACGATGATGCAGGATAATTATCTGATTCACAAAATGCAAAATCACAAACATGATTGGAGATATCACAATTTCATGGAGATCGATGAAGCAAACCTTGACCGCCAAATCATCAAATCACGCAGAGTTGGTAGCTCTCTACGAAGCAGGTAGAGAACATGTATGTTTACAATATGTGATCCAATACATTCGGAGCGAATGCAGTATAAATGCAAATACTAGCCATCCGGCTCCTATATATGAAGGCAACACCGCATGCATTGCTCACTTTAAAGAAGGCTACATCAAAGGAGACAAAACAAAGTATATAGCACCAAAGTTTTTCTCAACTCATGATCTTGAGAAAGATGGAATGATTGACATCGAGCAAATCAAGTGCAATGAAAACCTCGATGATTTATTTACAAAAGTGTAGCCCCCAAAGAAATTTGAAGAACTCGTACACAAGACTGGAATGTACCGCCTCTGTCAATTATGCTAAGATGAGGGGAAAATTTTATGCATTGTATTCTTTTCCCCTCAATCTGATTTCTATCTCACTAGATTTTTCCAGACAAGGTTTTTAATGAGACAGTACATAAAATTAGGATGAATTTAAAAACTATGCCCATATCATAAAGTAGATATCACTAATTGCAAATAAACATTCAAGGGTAGTGTCATGAAATTAGTGAATTGATCATATTTCAATTAATTAGGCCCACTATTCTAGAATGATAGAAAATGTAAAGTTGAGAATACTACACACAGCAATATAGCAATCTCCACGGTGAAAACTGATTTAAGACCATGATAACATCTTTAAAAACTAACCAATCTAACAAGACCAAGCTATATAAAAAACCACCAATACAGTAGATACTAATCATCAATTATATTATATATCAAAAAAATCCTCATCATCATAACCCATATGAGATACCTCTCTCTATTCCTTTTTCCTTTTCAACTTCTTTTTCTAACTTTTGGTCATAGGCTTTTAAAGAGGTTTAAGATCTTCTTCTTTTTTTTGAACAAGAGAGCTTGAAAAAATTTATTACCTCATCCTCATGAGACTGAGGATCAAGCAGGTCTTGCTCCTCTGCCCATCCAATTGGCGTGATCCTTCTACCTTTTGCTAGTAATTTGGCCCTGCTTCGTGTCACAATTTGTGAAGGGGAGTAAGTCTTTCTGCCTTTAAGTTCCTTGTGCAGATATGGGTGCTGGGGGCATCTTGAAATGTCAATTTGAAGAGGTTTAAGCATAGAGTCAATGAAAACTAAGTCCTCTCCCTCTAAATGTGTATAAAGAATGGGCCCTTCCCTTTCCTTTGTGTGACCTTCCACTGCATTAATGCATAAAACCAAGCTTTGTTCATTAAGCTTTGAAAATGAGTCCTCTTCCTCCAAGCATACTGAATTTGGCACCAAGTCCATGTAACACCCTAATCTGTCCAGATATACAGCCTCTTTCAGACTAAAGTATTAACTTGGTAATCGTAAAAATTTAAAACATTTCAAACACTTTTGTTTATCACAATAAAAATGATGTTTTTATCAAATAAAATCTTATGTGATGCATGACGGTAAGCTAGGGTGTTAACACTCGACGCTAGGCCGCTATTTGTTAAATGAATATTAGGATGACTATTTTTGGATATTGATTATGATAAAACTTTGATGGATATTCTGAATTGAATGATTATTACAATGGATAAACCATAATGAAACGCCACTGATTAAATATTGATTACAATGATTAAATGGATGACCGTGCAAATATAGTGATAACGATCTTATTTTGACAAAATAATAATATATGGTACTGAATGATTAAACTATAAGAATGAAATGGTAAATAGATATGTTCGTTTGATTATCCAGATTTTAAGGATGATTATGAATTAATGAACCATGATTCATATTGATTAGATAGATGAGCAAGAGAATCATGTGTAGGGTATCTAGAAGAACTCTAAGACATACCCATTTAAATAATTGATGTTAAGGCTATCTAGAAGATCTCTAGGATAGACCTTGGATTAAAATGGACTTGTAACGATAAGTATATTTGGGTGCTTTGAATAAAATATATAAAAGGGATTCATAGACCAAACTAGAGGATCGCTCGTCTGGAAATACCCCGATTCAATGATGATTAATCACTGTCTTGTTGTTGTCTTAAACTAATTATAGTTTCAACATCTGAGAATTGTTTCCCTTAAACTAATTATGTTATAATAAAAGACCAACGCTAGAGGGGGGGTGAATAGCGTTTGATCGTAGAAATCACAGGAATTAAAAATTTAAAAGAGAAGTAAAGAGAAGAGTAAGAGGCACCCCGAATTTACCCTGGTTCACCACAACTTGTGGCTAATCCAGCCTCTCGAGAAACTCTCTCGAGCTACACTACTATCTCGTTAAGCTTAACGGTGCTTAACCAACCCTTACAACTTGAGAATTCGAGTCACACGAACCTCAACGAATCCTTCGAAGGAAACAGCCCTTCCTTCAAATCAAAAGAGAGAAATACTTTCTCTCAACGTGTCTTAGAACACTAATACACTCAAGAACGAGACTCTCTTTAAGAGTAGATATTGAGTAAACTATGTATGCTCAAGAACAACTCAAACTTCACACGGAATGACTCTAGAAAGCTATGGAAAATGATATTGTTTGAATGCAATGATAGTATGAGAAATGTGAAGTGAATTGGTGTGTAAAGCAGACCCAAACACCCCTTTTTATAGTGCCAAAGTAGGCTCCAACGGATCAAAACATTTAAGGGGTGATTGGCTTGATTTATGGGATTGATTAAAATTTGGATCTGCAGGATATTGGCTTCCCAGCGATGTATGGACTTACCCATCGCTGGTAAGCCAATTTTCCTTCAGTTTTGAAGCCAACGGTCACCTACCCATCGATGGGTACATGCTTCCCATCGCTGGGTGGGAGGTTGACTTCCAAACAAGGAAATAATCAACCTTAAATGACTTCCAACGGTCATGCCTACCCAGCGATGGTTATGCCCTCCCATCGCTGGGTTCCCATCGATGGGGTAAAGTCCCCATCGCTAGGACTGTTCAATCGGATCGATCCGATCCGATCCGATCCAAAAATTCGGATATCCGAAAATTTCGGATCATGCAAAACTCATTCCATATCCGATCCGAAAATATTCGGATATCTGAAATTCGGATATCCGAAATTCGGATATCCGGATTTTCGGATCGGGTCATTGGATTATCCGAAAAATTTATTTTTTAGCCAAAATTTACAAAAAAAAGAAGGTAGAATAGCAAAATCAACCCACAATATCAAATTCAATATAGATTTACTAAAAGAAAAATTTCACTACAAGATAATGGCCTAATAAAAAATTGATACCAAATTTAATTTGGGAGTAACTTTGGTAATTTTGCCTAAACAAACAAAAAAAATTACTATTAAAACAAAAAGTTTTAAAATGCTAATGCAAAAAGCCCAAAATGCTTTAGTTCCGAAATCAACATAAAATTGCATTAAACACATACCCATAATATATATTCATAAAATTCCATTAAACATATAAGCAAAAAAAAAACGGATATCCGATTATCCGAAAAATTCCAGAAATTGAATCCATATCCGATCTGATTTTTTTTAGATATCCGATCCGAAATATCCGAAAGCCAAAATATCGGATCGGATATCCGTTTTTCGGATTGGATATGCCAGGATCATGGACGGATTTTTCGGATCGGATATTTTTGAACACCCCTACCCATCGCTGGGTAAGGTCGTTCTGCCTTGTGTTGATGTTGGACCAAGGCTTGAACAGCGATGGGTAGAACCTCCCATCGCTGTTTGGCATGGTTCTGGAACTCGGTTGGGCTAAAGGTCCGCTTACCCATCGATGGGTAGTTCTTCCCATCGCTGGGTGGATGGTTAGTCAAAAACCCATGGTTTTTGCCTGAACCATGGCCTAGCCAACTGATGCAAAAACCGACCGAAAAATCCAAAGTTCTCCAAAATAAAAACCAAGTGTTTAAAACACTTATTTGATGTATTTGGCTAAGAAATCAAGTGAGACACTTTTAAAACCACGTCATTTGAGTAAAAACCACGGCTAGCCAAGTTTATGCCGTTTTGCGTGGTTTTTGCCAAACAACCAAAAACGAAAGGTGGTTTTCAAAGTGTTTTTGTTGGAGAACTGTTTAAACATGCCAAAGAGTAAAAACCAATCATAAAACGTTGAAAACAACTTGGTTGGTTCGGACGCCAAAAACCAACATCGATAACCGAATGCCGAACGCCGGTTTCTGAAAGCCAAATGCCGGTTTCTGAAAGCCAAACGCCGGATGGCTTGGTTTTTGGTTTGGGCGAACACCAAGTGTTTTTAATGTATTAAATATGTTTTAAAAACATTTTTATGATGTGTGAAATGCAAAGAAAAGAATTTTAGCCTAAAGAGCCAAGGTGTAAAGGTTGGGTCGGTCTTGATCACAATTGTGACCGACTCAACGACACTAAGACTACGGTCTTCGTTCTTGGTCTTCTTTTGGCCCTTGTTCTCTTTCTTCTCATCTTTGGTTAAACAATTTCCCCCTTGTTGATAATGGCAAACAAGACGAGGTTATGCATAGGAGGATTGTTTTGAGACTTTAAGAAAATGTTCCCCCTTAATAAATACAATTTCATTTTCAACAAAGTATTTAAAAAAATTCCCCCTCAATTAGTGCATAACCTTTATATCTTCCCCCTTTTGACATGAACAAAAAGAATTGAAAGTAAACTTTTATTCATTAAAAGGGAAATGCGGATTACAACGGAATATAAATTAAAAAAATACAATCATATTAAAAAAAAGGGAGGAAGAGTCTAGGAGTCGGCGTCCTCGTCCTCGTCGTCATCCTCGTCGTCCTCGACGTCCATGGGATCGCCGTCGACCGCGTCTTCAAAGTCGGCCTCGTCGGGAGAGGAGGACGGGGCATAGGAGTCATCGTCCTCATCCTCGCCTTCAAAGTTTTGGCCGAGGATGGTGCTGTCAAAGGGCGGCGGGACGAAGTTGATGTCGCGGAAGAACGCCGTCATGTCGTGGTGTTGGCGTTGCAGCGTCTAGTCCATCCGCTCCATGTACTGCCCATTGTCATCCACCGTGAGGGTTAGCCGATTCAGGGTGTCGGCTATGGACTGCAACGAGGCCAAGGCGGGAGCGGGGGCACGAGCACGAACACGGGCACGACTCGGTCCGGCGCCGTCGCGGTCTCCGGACTTCTTCTTGAAGGTGTTGTCGGCGATGACCCATAGCTTCATCATCTTCGTGCTTGGCCCGGCAATGTGGATGTCGGCGGAGATGATGATGTCCATGACGAGGAAGGCGTACGGCAAGCTCCGCTCGGTGGCGAGGGAAGCGCAATCCGTCATGTGAATCATGACGAATTTCGCCCAATTGGTGGAGGTGCCGTGCATGATGGCGTGAATCACCTTCAAGTCCTCGTTGAAGAGCGAGGTGTGGCTGCCATCCCGGGGGCGGAGGATCCGGGTGAGGATGGAGAGGAGAAGGCGCTTCTCCGGCGGGACGAGTGGATCGTCGGTGCGCCGCTGTGGCAGATCAAGTTGGTGATCCCAAGCTCGCGAATGACGACCGCCTCGTTGTTGAGGATCCAATCGTCGCCACTGTACATCGTGATGTCGTCGCCTCGGATGGGCAGCCCTGCGATCCGTGCAAAAGTCAGCAAGTCAATCTCTTGTCGTAGAGATTGATGCTGCTGTATATGGTGTCCCCGTCACGACGGAGATTTGAGTAGAACGCCCGGACGAAGGCGGGATTGTAGGACGTGCGGCTCTTGGAGACGAAGGGCCACAAACCCGATGTTTGGAGTTGGTTGTCGAGGTCTTGGTACCCCTTTTGTTGGGGAAACAACTCCGGGAGCACTCGGGGCGGAGAGATAGGGCGCTTGGCGAAGTGTGAGGAACCGGGTGAGTTCCTCCTCCGAGCCAAACTAGAGAAAAGATCTGTCTAGGTAGGGAAACGGCGGGGGCGCAGAGCTTGAGGCTTTGACGGTGCTTTTCTTCTTGGAAGCTTTCGACTTTGACTTTCCACCGGCCATTGTTGAGGCGTTTTTGAAGAAAGAGGATGAATTTGGATGAATAGGCTTAGGAGATTGAAATTTGGATGTAAAATGTGATTAGGAATGACCAATAGTGAAGAGAATATATAGGGAGAGGGGAGAGAACCGTGTGAATTCAAAAAATATGGCTGTTGGACATTAAATTCGGTGCCCAACGACCATAATTTTTGAATTTCAGCAGCCTTCCCAGCGATGGTGGGATCTACCCATCGATGGGAAGGTCGCCACTGGAAAGCGAGGAAAAAATCAAAGTTGCCTTCCCAGCGATGTTTGGATTCTCCCATCGATGGGAAGGTGGTTACTGGAAAGTGAAGAAGTAAGGAAAAGATCCTTCCCAGCGATGTTAATACCTTCCCATTGCTGGGTTGGTGGTTTTTGGAAATCTATTAAAATTTTTTAAAAAAATAGTGTCAAACACCCAACGATGGGAGTAAGTTCCCATCGATGGGTAGGATGGTTCTGGGGAAAAAGTTTTTAAACTAAAGTCATATACCCAGCGATGGTACAAAGTTACCATCGATGGGTAGTGGACTTCTGGAAATCCGTTAAAAAGTTTTAAAAAAATAGAGTTAATCACCCATCGATGGGAGGAAGTTCCCATCGATGGGAAGAGGAGTTCTGGAAAACAAGAAACTTCCCTCCCAGCGATGGTATAACCCACCCATCGCTAATTCCCCCTGACTTCCAGATTTCTTCACTTCAAACCGTCCCTGCAAAAAAGAGTTAGAAAACCCTCCGACGCTCAAGTTAGTAAACGTTCAAACAAAGATAAAGGAGTAATAAAATGCACAAATTAGATCATCATGGAGTCAAGGATTCCGAGTTCACTACGAATGCAGAAGAACGACTCTTTCTCTAAAGGTTTTGTGAAAATGTCAGCTAATTGGTTGTGTGTTTCAACAAACTCAATTTCGACATCACCTTTGAGAGCATGATCTCTAATGAAGTGGTGCCTAATGTCAATGTGTTTCGTCCTTGTGTGAAGAACGGGATTCTTCGTCAAGCTTATGGCGCTAGTATTATCACAACGAAGTGGAACGTGACTGATACTAAGGCCATAGTCCACGAGTTGTTGCTTCATCCAAAAGGATTTGAGCACAACAACTACCGGTGGAAACGTATTCGATCCGCTTCGGTTGTGGATAACGCAACACTGACTTGTTTCTTACTAAATCATGAAACTAAAGAGCTACCAAGTAAGTGACAAGTCCCACTCGTGCTTTTACGGTCTAACTTGCAACCGGCAAAGTCCGAGTCGGAATAACCAACGAGATGAAACGAAGAGCCTTTTGGATACCACAGTCCAACGTTAACCGTGCCAACAAGGTATTTCATGATCCGTTTCACCGCCGTTAAGTGCGATTCCTTCAGACACAATTGATACCTTGCGCAAAGGCATACGCTAAGCATGATATCCGGCCTACTAGCGGTAAGATAGAGAAGGGATCCGATCATACCTCGATACTTTTTGACTTCTACTTCCTTACCTTTCTCGTCTTTGTCAAGATGGTCGGACGTGCTCATCGGGGTCGCCATGGCTTTGGCGTTGTCCATTTCGAACCGTTTTAGGAGTTCTTTGCAATACTTAGTTTGGCAAATGAATGTGCCATCTCTCATTTGCTTCACTTGAAGTCCCAAAAAGAACGTGAGCTCCCCCATCATTGACATTTCGAATTCACTTGTCATTAACTTGGAGAATTCCTTGCACAGAGACTCGTTAGTAGCACCGAATATAATATCGTCTACATAAACTTGAACCAAAAGGATGTTGTTGTTTTTACTCTTGATAAAAAGTGTAGTATCGACCTTTCCCCTTTGGAAACCACTGTCCAAAAGAAATTTACTCAAACGTTCGTACCAAGCACGGGGTGCTTGTTTAAGACCGTAGAGCGCTTTCTTGAGCTTGAAGACATGGTCGGGATACTCAAAGTCTTCAAACCCCGGGGGCTGGTCAACGTACACTTCCTCTTGAATAAAACAATTGAGGAAGGAACTCTTAACATCCATTTGATAAAGTTTAAAATCTATAGACGAAGCAAAAGCAAGAAGTAAACGTATAGCTTCTAAACGTACTACGGGTGCATAAGTTTCTTCAAAATCAATGCCTTCTTCTTGATTGAAGCCTTTAGCTACGAGCCTAGCTTTTTTTCTAGTGATTATTCCGTTTTCATCAAGTTTGTTACGAAACACCCATTTCGTACCAATAATTGTACGATCATCGGGCCTTGGCACCAATTCCCAAACGTCATTCCGTTTGAATTGGTTTAGCTCCTCTTGCATAGCCAAGGTCCAATGTTCATCGTTTATTGCTTTGGAAATGGTTGTAGGTTCAATTTGAGAAACAAAAGCCATGTGTCCTACGGTGTCCCTAAGTGAGTTTTGAGTACTTACCCCACGGTTGATGCTACCGATTACCTGATCAAGCGGATGGTTCTTGTTTGTTCTCCATGCGACGGGAAGCTCGGTTGCTTCTTCTTCGTGTTCCTCTTGTTCTTCTTCTTCGTCTTGATTATCTTCATTTTTGTTGGTCACTAGAGGCATCTCCTCAGTTTGCGGCTGCGTGTTGGTGTATATTTCCATGTTTTCTTCATCGTCTTTGACGTGAATTCTTTCAAGCGAATCTGCAAGATCATCACAAATACCTTTTCTCGCCAAGCGAGGGTTATCTTCGGAAAATACAACGTGAGGGGACTCCTCAATAGTCAAAGTTCTTTTATTAAAGACTCTATAGGCCTTGCTACGTAATGAGTAACCCAGAAAAATCCCTTCGTCCGACTTGGCATCAAATTTGCCTAAGTTATCTTTGCCATTGTTATGAATAAAACATTTGCAACCAAAGACTCGAAGATGGGAAAGGTTTGGCTTTCTCCCTTTGTATAGTTCATAAGGCGTTTTCATGAGTATCGGTCGAATGACAACTCGGTTTAACACGTAGCTCGCGGTACTCACGGCATCCGCCCAAAAATACTTAGGGATTTTTGCCTCATTGATCATAGTTCTAGCCATCTCTTCGAGACATCTATTTTTACGTTCCGCCACTCCATTTTGTTGTGGTGTACGTGGGGCTAAGAAATTATGATCAATGCCGAGTTCGTCACACAAATCTGAAAAATAGATTTCGTTTGAACTCTCCCCCATGGTCGCTTCTTATGGCTACTATGGTTGTTTCTTTTTCTTTTTGAACTTTCTTTAGAAAATTTTTGAAAACATGAAATGCCTCACTTTTATGAGTAAGAAACAAGGTCCATGTGAACTTAGAGTAGTCATCGACGATCACAAACGCAAAGTAATTACCACCGAAACTTTTCGTTCTAGAAGGACCAAAGAGATCCATGTGCAAAAGTTGAAGCGGTCTAGACGTTGAAACAACGTTCTTAGACTTGAACGAAGCCCGAACTTGCTTCCCCTTTTGACATGCATCACATATGGTGTCTTTTTCAAACTTAAGTTTTGGAATGCCAATTACTAAGTCTTGTGAAACCAATTTGTTCAAAAGGTTCATGTTCATATGAGCTACCCTTCGGTGCCATAACCACGTGTCTTCCTCTTTACTCATGAGGTACTTAGCAAACCCGGAAGGAGATTTGTCTAAGTTAACCATATATATGTTATCGATTCTATCACCACGTAGAATGACCTTATTGTCACTAAGGCGTTCTACCGTGCATGATTTTGAATTGAAGGTCACACGGTTTCCCTTGTCACATAATTGACTTATGCTCAAGAGATTGTGTTTAAGACCCTTAACTAGCAAGACATTATCTATAGAGGAGTTTTGAGATTTACCTACTGAACCAATGCCGATAATCTTTCCCTTGCTATTGTCTCCAAAAATTACGTTTCCTCCTTTGGCGGGTTTAATTTGTAGGAACTTGGATGCATCTCCGGTCATGTGCTTGGAGCATCCGCTATCAAGGTACCAAAGTACACTTGACGCCTTCAAGCACACCTACAAAAATGATTTAATAAGATTTAGGTACCCAAGTCTTTTTGGCTCCTTGAGTGTTAGGTGCAAAGTGGTAGTGTGATTCATTTTGTGCCCAATGCCTATGCCTAGTAAAGCAAACGAGAGCTATATGCCCTATCCTATTGCAATAATGGCAAACTACGTTTGGGTTGTGCATCCTCCTAGGTTGATAATAGTTGCTAGGGGGCTTAACCATATTCCTCCTATTTTGGGAAAACATTGGTTTTTGAAAATTCTCTCTTCTAGGTGTCCTAGCATTATTTTGTGTATTTGAAAAATTATTTTTATGCACAAATTCATTTTGATAATTTTTCCTAGGTTGTCTAACATGCACATTTTCATTCCTAGGTTTTTGTCTAGGTTTTCTAGTGTCCTTAGGTTGACTAGATTTTCTATTATCCTGATTTTTAATTTTCTTACGTTGAGCCTTAGGAGGTTGTCTAGGTGTTTGCTCAACGTTTTTATCCTTAGATTTGTTTTTATCAAAGCCTTATCCTTCCTTAGAAAAATGCATAGTGTCAAGGAGTAAGTTAAGATCTTTGTGTGGAGTATTGAATTTCTTAACCGTACTCTCAAGTTTTGTAACTTTTTCTTTTAAAGCCTTGCAAGATTCACATTCATTTGAAGAGCTTTCCGGTTTGTCAGCGCTTCTTTTGCCATAAAATTTATTTTCTTGTTTTAACTTTTCATTATCTTTTTCTAGTTTTTCAAAATCATTTTCAAGAGTTGAAAGACGTTTCTTTAATGATTTGTTAGTTTTAGAAGCGCTAACAAATTCATCGTAAAGCTCACGAAGTGCTTCTTGCATCTCTTCAAAAGTGTAAGAGTCGGAAGAAGTGGTACATACCTCTTGTATATCGTCGGGTTGGTCTTCGTGTGCCATGAGACAGAGGTTGGCGGCTTCATCCTCCTCTTGGTCGGTTGACTCGTCACTGGAGTCAACACCCCACGAGATATATGCCCTTTTCTTTTTGAAGCCGGGTTTGTTCGTGCCATTTTTGCCTCTTGGACATCTCGGCTTGATGTGGCCTATCTCGCCACAGCCATAGCACTTCGGGGGACCGTCGTGCTTTCTTCCTTTGCGCTCAAATTCCTTTTTCATGAATTTGTGGAATTTCTTGATGACAAGTCCGAACTCGTTGTCATCATCACTTGAGACTTCTTCCACCGTCTCTTTGGTTGCTTTTAACGCTATTCCTTTCTTCTTTTGTTCATCCAAAGACGGGGTTAGGATAGTGGATTCATAAGCTTTGAGATTACCTCTTAACCCGTCGATGGTGACGTTGGAGACTCCGATGGATTCGTAGATTGCGTCAGCCTTTGATCTCCATTCGAGTGTGAGACTTCAAAGGATTTTCCTCACGAGGTCCTTGTTGGCGTAAGTCTTCTTGAGAGCATGAAGGTCGTTGATGATCTTTGAGAACCAATCGAACATGTCATCAATCTTTTTGCCTTCCTTCATCCTAAACATTTCGTACTCCTGTGTGAGAAAGTCAATTTTGGCTTCCCGAACTTGGTTCGTACCTTCGTATGTGACCTCTAGCTTGTCCCACATTTCTTTGGCGGTGGTGCAGCAAGAGATCTTGCGATAGTCATCGGGATTGACCGCGTAGTAAAGCATGTTGATTGCCTTGGCGTAGTTCTCCACTTTTTTGATGTCTTCGGCATCAAATTCGTCCTCAGTCTTTGGGACGAGTTTTTCACCAACCTTCTTCATTATGTTTCTTTGCCGTTCTTGATGACCAACCACAACTAGAAGTTGGTTGAGCGGATATAAATTCTCATCCAATATGTGTAGTTGGTCCCATCGAAGAGTGGTGGCCTAGAGGTTGATTGACCTTCTCTAATCCCTGCATAAAGATTTCTAGAAGAAGAACCCATGATCGATTTACTCTCAAATGGTTAAGTTTGGACGCGAGCTAGGCTCTGATACCAATTGTTAGAATAAAAGACCAATGCTAGAGGGGGGGTGAATAGCGTTTGATCATAGAAATCGCAGGAATTAAAAATTTAAAAGAGAAGTAAAGAGAAGAGTAAGAGGCACACCGAATTTACCCTAGTTCACCACAACTTGGGGCTAATCCCGCCTCCCGAGAGACTCTCTCGAGCTACACTACTATCTCGTTAAGCTTAACGGTTCTTAACAAACCCTTACAACTTGAGAATTCGAGTCACACGAACCTCAACGCATCCTTCGAAGGAAACAGCCCTTCCTTCGAATCAAACGAGAGAAATACTCTCTCTCAACGTGTCTTAGAACACTAATACACTCAAGAACGAGACTCTCTTTAAGAGTAGATATTGATTAAACTATGTACGCTCAAGAACAACTCAAACTTCACACGGAATGGCTCTAGAAAGCTATGGAAAATGATATTGTTTGAATGCAATGATAGTATGAGAAATGTGAAGTGAATTGGTGTGTAAAGCAGACCCAAACACCCCTTTTTATAGTGCCAAAGTAGGCTCCAACGGATCAAAACATTTAAGGGGTGATTGGCTTGATTTATGGGATTGATTAAAATTTGGATCTGCAGGATATTGGCTTCCCAGCGATGTATGGACTTACCCATCGCTGGTAAGCCAATTTTCCTTCAGCTTTGAAGCCAACGGTCACCTACCCATCGATGGGTACATGCTTCCGATCGCTGGGTGGGAGGTTGACTTCCAAACAAGGAAAGAATCAACCTTAAATGACTTCCAACGGTCATGCCTACCCAGCGATGGTTATGCCCTCCCATCACTGGGTTCCCATCGATGGGGTAAAGTCCCCATCGCTGGGTAAGGTCGTTCTGCCTTTTGTTGATGTTGGACCAAGGCTTGAACAGCGATGGGTAGAACCTCCCATCGCTGTTTGGCATGGTTCTGGAACTCGGTTGGGCTAAAGGTTCGGTTACCCATCGATGGGTAGTTCTTCCCATCGTTGGGTGGATGGTTAGTCAAAAACCCATGGTTTTTGCCTGAACCATGGCCTAGCCAACCGATGCAAAAACTGACCGAAAAATCCAAAGTTCTCCAAAATAGAAACCAAGTGTTTAAAACACTTATTTGATGTATTTGGCTAATAAATCAAGTGAGACACTTTAAAAACCACGTCATTTGATTAAAAACCACGGCTAGCCAAGTTTATGCCGTTTTGCGTGGTTTTTGCCAAACAACCAAAAACGAAAGGTGGTTTTCAAAGTGTTTTTGTTGGAGAACTGTTTAAACATGCAAAGGAGTAAAAATCAATCATAAAATATTGAAAACCACTTGGTTGGTTCGGACGCCAAAAACCAATACCGATAACCGAATGCCGAACGTCGGTTTCTGAAAGCCAAATGCCGGTTTCTGAAAGCCGAACGCCGGATGGCTTGGTTTTTGGTTTGGGCAAACACCAAGTGTTTTTAATGTATTAAATATGTTTGAAAAAACATTTTTATGATGTGTTAAATGCAAAGAAAAGAATTTTAGCCTAAAGAGCCAAGGTGTAAAGGTTGGGTCGGTCTTGATCACAATTGTGACCGACTCAACGACACTAAGACTACGGTTTTCGTTCTTGGTCTTCTTTTGGCCCTTGTTCTCTTTCTTCTCATCTTTGGTTCTCGCCTTGTATATTCAATGACTTGTCTCGTTCTCGGCGGTTTGGCATTATCAAAACCTGTCATAAAAACGAACACGGCTTTAGTACGAAAACATGACAAACCCGTGTTTCAACAAATTATAGTTTAAGCATCTGAGAATGGTTTGCCTTAAACTAATTATAGTTTAAGCGTCTGAGAATTGTTTTCCTTAAACTAATTACAGTTTAAGCGTCTGAGAATGAAAATTATGATTTGGCCTTAGACTAAGAATTGCTAAGACCGTTGTTATGATCTGGCCTTAGACTAAGAATAGATAAGAGCGTTGTTATGATCTGGCCTTAGACTAAGAATAGCTAAGAGTGTTGTTATGATCTGGCCTTAGACTAAGAATAGCTAAGAGCGTTGTTATTATTTGGCCTTAGATTGAGAATAATTTGAGAGAATTGTTGAAATAATGAATATTGGAATTGATAATATGCGTTGATATGAACTGAACAATATCAAAATCATGAATGATGAATATTTGAATTGAACATTATGTACATGATATCAAATGATTTGATTATGAATTTAGATTCAGTTTATATGGATGCTTGACGCATTAGATTTGCTTACTCAGCTTCAACGCTGAGCGTGTAGTATATTTTATTTGCTACACGCAGGTTAATAGAAAGAATGATGTGACGTGATCCTGGAGGCAGACTGAGGCAAGATTGTCGGAATGGATTTGATGGTTTTGAATTCAAGAACATAAGTAAATTATGTTTTGTGATTGTGATTCATTAAGCTTCCCCAACATTGAAAACTCCGTATTGTTTATGTTATGAAAAATATTATTGTGATAGATAAAAGTGTTTGAAATGTTTTAAATTTTTACGATTACCAAGTTAATACTTTAGCCAAAAGGGCCTGCAGACCTGGACGAATTAGGGTGTTACAATTTGGTATCGGAGCAAATGGTTTTAAACCCGATCTTCGGATCAAAAGTTGATTTAAAAAAATGTCAATCACATCCACGACTCTTGCATCCTTCTGCTCCAGGAAAGGTAATAAGAATTGACTTGGTAAAATATTGACTGTGTTAAAATTATCATTACATAACATTTGTTAATACTAAAATCATATCGAGCGTAGACTCAAGTCAAAATTTTGTACTCGATGAAGAGACGAATGAATAAACAAAAAAATGTATGACTCCCTGATATGCTATCAACGTACTTATCGCAATGCGAATGACGAAACCGAAAATTTATCTATACCACAAATTCGTATGGAAACAAAACAACTTTAAAGAAACGAATAATGTTGAAGAACATCTATGAATCCAGTGTCCAAGATCCTCATGTGGACTCAACACGATCTGATCGCCGATTCAAACACGAACGTGTAGAATCAATGAATTCTGTTCTCAAAAGTACCCCGTTCTGTTTTTTAACTCATTACAACACAATATGTGATTATATCATGTGAATCGAAATAGTCCGTTAAGCGACAGTTCCTTGCAAAACCTTGTTGAAATACCATACAAGGAATGGATATCATCCTTAGTATGAATATACTAACTAAACATTATTGTTGTTGACAACTCTTAACGAAGAATTCTTCAAGTTGAGACTGATGATGGTAGTCTCATAGGTGAAAGAAAAGCAAATCTCAAGACCGATCGAGGTCATGTCAAATATACACGCAAAATTGTTCCCCCTATATGAAGGTGTGAAGTCTATTCGTGTGATACGCGAAAAGAAACCCCCTGAACTGAAGGCCGTACATACTGAAAGTATGTCACCTCTTTGATATGAACTTCCTAATATTTCATCGTTCTGAGAAATTGAATTCTCTATCAATCTTTTTCCTAGAAAAGAACAAAAAACGTAAATCCATATTCAATACCTATTCTGTTCATACGCGAATAAAGATGGATCGATGAGAATTTGTATCAACTACCTTCAATTAAACAAAGTCACAATAAATTGTAATCCTTACCTCGTATCGATGACTTATTTGATCAACTTAAAGCATCCATTGCGTTCTCTAAGAGTGACTTACGGTCAAGATACCATCAAACCCTTGTTAAGAAACTTGAATGAACTGACGATCTAGAATCGCTATCCTTTACTACAAACTGACAACTTGTGCGGTCAAAGAACCTACTTGTTAGAGACGATAGACAACTCAACCTAATTGAATGAAGTGACACCTTCTTATAAAACGACTAGTGACTTAATTACTCATCATCGAAAACATCGATGTAGTCTGATTGAATAAATGAAATAAAGTGATATCTGTTATCAACTCAACTATTCAAGTAAAGAATCCTAATAAAGGAATTTCTATTATTTGTAGAATGAGTCAAGAAAACTCTCATGGTCAAAGTAACCAAGTGCCAAACAATGAGCACGAGAAGTTCATACTGGAATCATCCAATATGACTGCTCACGGTCAAAGTAACCAAGTGCCAAACATCGAGCAGACCGCTCGTGTACTACAAAATCTGAACATACCTCTTTTTGATCATCCAAAATTTGCATCTCAATTGCTCCGCAAGGAAGCCTATGAATAGTGCAAACGCACTGACGAAAATCAAAACACACCCAAACCTTGGACTAGGGAATTCTTCGATTGGGCATTCAAGAAAGAATATATCCCAGCTCGATTCCGAGAAGAGAAACGTGCTGAATTTATTGAATTGAAGCAAGGAGATATGACGCTCCCTGAATACCGACAAAAAATTGTCTATCTTTCTTAGTTTGCACCCACGCTGGTGGGCACAGTTGCTGACCGCATCGAGGAGTTTCGCAAGGGACTTCGACCTAATCTCAGGCGGCACATTTCTATCATTCCAATTGTGGATTTCTTTGAGACATATGACCTAATCTCCAAAGCTGAAAAAGATCTAAGTGACTACTATGAAAGTCCGAAGACTGAGAATGTCAATTCAAGTGTACAACCAAGAACTAGTGGAAAGAGACCCTTGAGTGAGACCCATAGTGCCCTACACTCGAAAAAGGGAAAGTCGATGATAAATCAATCGACGTCATCTATAACCAAATTGAGGATATGAGAACATTTAAAGCGTAACATTTGTAAAAGACACAATCCGGGAGAATGCCGATTTACGCAAGGATCATATCTAGGTTGTGGCAAACCTGGTGTAATACCGCGTATCAAGATGAGAATGGGAAGAGCACAAAAGGATTGATAGTACTACTCATACCAACAAGGTGCATCTTTTTTTGAGAGCTCATCACCTAAAAACTCCAAAGTTAAGGGTGTTTGACCTGGAGCAATTTTAGGATGGGTGACCCCCTGGGAAATTCCTTGGGCGCGCACGAGTGAGGACAAAGTGTGCGGGAA